GCGCTTTTCTTACATTAAAACGTCTTCAGCATATATCATCATAAATTGATAAAAATTGCAGTCATTAAAGAAACATGCGTGCCATTTGCGTCCTCGTATAAGGGAAATGCGTAATTTTTTGAAGATGCCGGCATTCCAGCTAAAATGTTTTAAATTTAACGACTTTATCACATTATACGCAGGCGATTACTTGTTGATGTTTTTTTATTCATTTGAAGTAATCATTTGTGTTATCAACGTAAACGAGGCTACCAGCATACTGACTGACTTGAACATTCCGGTGGGCTCTTACAAATGAAATCGAATTTGCCTGAAGGCTCAAAATTTTTAATGAAAGTATAAGTCTGCCTGTCAATTTATTTGCATTTCGAAAGAAAAGAAAAATGAGGCCAATATGTTTATCGATTTCATTTCTTTACCTGTTGTACGAGAATCGATATAATGAAATATTCATCTTTTAAACATATCCACGGGAAAGCCGATGGGTAAACTCGATTGACCCCACATATTGGAACACAATAGCTCTACGATATTTTTGAACTTGTATTTTTTTACATTGATTACTAAATTGCCGGTAAGGTAGAATAATTTTTTTTTCCTTTGGTTTGTTTTTTCCGTCGATCTTGTTTTCCGTGCTGAGCACCAATGCTACCGACGTGCCAGGAAGGCAGCTCCCACACCTGGACCCTACCTATCGACCCATCAACTCATGAACCGGGGACCAACGGCTTTACTTCCCATCCGAAGGAAGGCGTGATCAGAGATGTTATGCCTCAGAACATCCCGGCGGCGCCGACTGGGATTGAACCCAGGCCTGCTGGGGTGAGAGGTAATCACGCTTACCACTACACCACCGGCGCCGTTAGGTAGAACAATTCAAGAGCAAATTTTCATTACGTCGAATGTAACAAAGGTAAACAAAGTCGAGCTATCAGTGTCAATCGATTCTCCTGCTATTACACTATATACTGTCCGAATATAGGATCAAATCCCATTTTTAAATTTATTTACCAGTCAAATTGCTTTTTGACGTAATCATCTTTCGATCAAAATAGTTTTCGATGTTACTTAAGTCTATGGAGATGCCGTTTGACATAAGTAACAGCGCTGAGAAACCCGTGAAAAGTGTACGTTCGTCGTTTCGCTTTCTCATTATTAAAGTGAATAAATCGATCTGTTTGTTGCTAAGATGATTTCGGTGGTCCTAAAATGATGAATGGGCTGCACGTAAGGAGACGTAATTGATAATTCTCCCGAATATCCTGGTAAATACACTTTGACTTAAGTAACAATAGGGGCCACCAAACGACGTATAATCATAGAGGTAACTCTAAGACCACTGGGTCCCGAAGAAAATCATTATTATTTTTGGCTCACTCAGTACCAGAACAACGGTCCCAAGCAGTCCCAAGCTATTTCACTCACCCCTGCATGTTCTGCATGAATCCACACACCCCTGATGTTATCTGTCAAACTTTCATAGCGAATCAAAACAAACATAGTGTAGTAATAGAATTTCATCTAGAATAGGGTACGTTAATCGTTTGTTTGGGACCAATAGGCTACTAAAGTGGAGAGCCAATTTAAAATCGTTGGTTTCGTATTGATTGTTGGTATAATCACTTTTGACTCAAAAACCATTATTTTTTAGCATGAAAGCTAGCGGTTTGCATTTGTATGATTAAAACCCTGCTAAATATGTTAAACATTGCTATCACTATGAGAATATGTGTTTACTTTGAAATAGGAGTAAATTTTCGGTCATCAAAACAAAACTTTATTTTTCTCGGATTGGTGCGAATGTTACTTACGACATAATGAAAATTTGCTCTTGAACTTATGTTTCAATTCCTCCCGAAAACTTATTTCAACGTTTCTGGGAAGCTTCTTCAGACATTGCTCGAATGGTTCTTCCATCTTCTCCCAGCAGTTTTTTTTAACTTTCCCTGAACTTCAGGGATGTTTCCAGATTTTTATTGCGGATTGACACTAGCTGCAGGAACTTTTAAGAAGTTCTGAAAATTCAGAAAAGTCTAGACTTTTGAGTAAGTTCCGAAAAAATAAAGATAGTTTCATTAACTTCTGTTCAAATTCCAAAACCTGAAAATTTCAGGAAAGTCCAGTGAACTCCAATGAACTTACGAAAACATCAGAAATATTTTGGAAACTTCACAAATTCAAAGAACTGCAGGGAAATTTAATGGTTTTCAGAACAGTTTCAGTTGTTTCAGAGAATTGAGAGAACTTTAGGGAAGCTCCGTGAACATCAGGACAGATCAATCAATTTCAAGGAAATGCTGATATTTTAAAGGATTTCCGAGAAACTCAGGCAATGTTCCACAAATTTAGAAAACGTAAGCGTAGTTACATGAACATAAGAGCATTGCGCGAACATTTTATTGGAAATTTTGTGCTTTTTAATGGTAGTGCTAAGAATTAAAATGTAAAAAATTGGGAAGATCAGAGATCTTCAATGCTAATGATATAATAAATTCAAGAAAATTGTGAGAGAACTTAAAAAAATTCGTAATCTTCAAGAAAATCCAGATACCTTCAAAGGTGGTTATTTATATTCAGGTAGCCTCATTATAATCAGGGAAGTTCCGTGTACTTCGAGGATGATCAGAGAACTCTAAAACAGCCCCATTAACTTCAAGAAAATTACAAAAAAAATTTAAGGAATTTCGTGGAATTATGGAATATTTCTAAGTGCATTTCAGGAATATTCCGAAAACTTCAGGGGCATTGCGGGGTCTTCAGGGATGTTTTATGAATATCAGGAGAACTTGCTGGATCTTTAGAACATCCCCCAGAAATCTCTTTCTTCAGGAATCATGTTCTTGTTTCTTTTGACTGTTCCGTAGGCGCTCTGGCTTCCAAAATTATTCATATAAATTCAAAATAGGATTCCTTTTGTTTTAGTAAGCCACTTTTCAACTGCAACTATTGTAAAAATAACAATATTCTATTATTAAGCCAACAATAGTTAATTTTAATTTAGCATTTATTTGCTGTGTCCATTTCCCGGGCCATGAATGCAAAAATAACAACCAACCATTTCCTCTTTTTCACCCGGACAAAAATGTAAACAATAACAAAACTTTTCTCGTTTGATTCAGCTCTTTTCCGCGTTCCACGTAAGTATTGTTTTTAATTGTGAATTTCGGGAAATAAGTGCAAGATTTCCGAAAATCTTGAAACTTGAGATAAGTAAGTATGCTGCAGTTCGAGCTGTAGTTGTTAAATATAATCAATTTTTCTGTTTTTTCTCTTGATTTTTTTTTTCCATCGATCTTGTTTTCCGTACCGAGTACCAATGCTCCCGACGCCAGGAAGGCAGTTCCCACACCTGGACCCTACATATCGACCCATCAACTCATGAACCGGGGACCAACGGCTTCACTTCCCGTGATCAGTTATCAGTGTTGCAAAAATAAAACAAAACATAAAAAAAAAAATTAACATTATTTTTGAATCAATAAACATATTTTTATTACTACTGCGTAAATTGTCAGACTTAACGGTTGTCAAATAATTGCAACACAGAAACCACCATCAAGATAGCGCTATAACATGTTATAACCATAGAGGTAACTCTAAGACCACTGGGTCCCGAAGGAAATCATTATTATTTTTGGCTCACTCAGTACCAGAACAGGTCCCAAGCAGTCCCAAGCTATTTCACTCACCCCTGCATGTTCTGCATGAATCCACACACCCCTGATGTTATCTGTCAAACTTTCATAGCGAATCAAAACAAACATAGTGTAGTAATAGAATTTCAACTAGAATAGGGTACGTTAATCGTTTGCTTGGGACCAATAGGCTACTAAAGTGGTGAGCCAATTTAAAATCGTTAGTTTCGTATTGATTGTTGGTCGAGTTGTTGGTAGTAGTGAGCCAATTTAAAATCGTTAGTTTCGTATTGATTGTTGCTATTAGTTTCGTATTGATTGTTGTTATAAAGGCCGGCGCACAATAGATACGTTTTCGGGTTTTTTGACAGATAATGCATGGGCTAACTGTCAAAAAACCTGAAAACGTATCTATTGTGCGCCGGCCTTAACTCTCCAGTCTGGACAGCGTTTTAGCTTGTGCCTGAAACAACACACTCAATGGAAAATGCATTTCTCGCGTCACTTTTCAAATAGACCACACGGATAGAAATCTCCTTATACCTTTTGGCAAATTTCTATTGCTGATTATTCATAAAATGTATAAGTCAACTAATAAGCAGACGCCTTGCAAAAAGTTAATGAAGATCATGCGTTGAATGAAATGTATAAGCGGTCACACATACCTTTTCTGCATTCTTATAGGACCTATGTGGTTTGTCTTATGGAATGTATAAGGCTGATGTAATGGCAAAAATGTATTAGTGAAACACATGTGTTGCGAGAATTAATTATTCGGATTTCGTTGAAGCTACTCGTCTTTGCGATGAGATCAGCTCAAAGCTGTAAATGTTTATTATTTAGAAACATTTTAGGTTAATTTAGTTTAATTTACTTACAATTAGTCTCCTATTAAGTATTTCACAAAATATTTCTCAGCAACAAATTCAATGTACTGTTAGGTTTCAAACTGCAATTAATTTAATAATTCCAGAACAACATGTGAAAAGGGCATACAAGCTTTTTGTAAACAAACCTTCTTATGCCTTTTTCTCGCCACCCAAATAACACCAACGCAAACCTTTAACATCACCGTGTAGGGGACACTTTCCCCTTCCCGATGATATTGCTGGTTTGGGTGGGCGACCCTCGGTTGGTGAGAAAAGGGCCTACAAGGGTTTGTTTACAAAAAGCTTGTATGCCCTTTTCACATGTTGTTCTGGAATTAGGATTTAATTAGATATGAGAAAATATAATTTAATTCACTTTATCAATTTCGTTCACTACAACAATGATGAAAAATCGTTTTCTGATGGCTTACTTCTAATTGACAACCCATGTTCTACCACCGTTGAGTTGACAGTTAACTCTTCCACACACAAACTCTCATGTCAATTCGAGGGACTGTCCAGTGGCAACATTCTCCCCCTCGTGACGCCCGGAATCCGTTTCGGCGTCACCATCAGGAACTACATCCAAAACAGCAAGTTTGCAAACCGGTCTCCTCAATACGCCGCTAGATGTCTCTACGTCGGCTCGACGTGCTACTCCATCTTTGCCCGGATATGTACGGATCACACGGCCTCTTGTCCACTGGTTACGAACTCCTTCGTCTGCTATTACTACTATCGCTCCTTCCCTGACTGGTGCCACGTCTTGAAACCACTTGGTTCTGCGGGAGATGATTGGTAAGTACTCAATAATCCAACGCCGCCAAAACGCATCCAGCATATGTTGCAGTAACTTCCAACTGTCCAATAGAGCTTTTCTTTCATCCACGGGAGCTTTGACCGGCTGTCGAACTCCACTCGAACTTAGCATCAAAAAGTGATTCGGAGTCAACGACTCCTGTTCTTCATTGCTCAGCGGCACGAACGTTAACGGTCGTGAATTGATCATGTGTTCTGCTTCGTCTAACAGCGTCATGAAGGATTCATCGTCTAGCTTGCGTAACGTTGGCAATGATCCCAGCGCAGTCTTTACAGATCGTACCATCCGTTCCCAACAACCACCCATGTGAGGGGTAGAGGGAGGGTTGAAACGCCATTTGGTGTTCGTGTCCGTAAAAGTGCTGCTCGTCGCGATGTTGATTTCTCGCAACTCAATTTCCAGCTCCCTGCTAGCACCAACGAAATTGGTGCCGTTGTCCGTATACACTTCTTGTGGTGCTCCTCTTCTAGCAATAAACCGTCGAATGGCTTTCTTGCATGAATCAGCTGTCAAACTGAAGACTATCTCCAGATGTAATGCACGCACGGTAAGGCACGTAAAGACCGCTACCCAGCGCTTGACGGAACTTCGTCCGACCTTAACGAAGTAGGGGCCGAAATAATCGATTCCTACAAACGTGAACGGTCGTAGGAACGGCGTTATTCGGATCCGAGGCAATTGACCCATCTTTGGTGCTACGGGTTTCGCTTTATACACGCGGCACCACTGGCACCGAATTGCTGCAGAGCGTACTTGAGTTCTGAGTTTTGCAATATAATGTCTCTGACGCACTTCATTGACAATCGTTTCATTGTTAGCATGACGAAATTTACGGTGATACCAATCCAGTAATAGGTTGGTAATCCGATGACCCCGCGGTAGAATGATAGGGTATCTGGTATCGTACGGGACGTAGTCTGCTGCTGCGATACGACTATCCACGCGTAGAACACCGTGCTCGTCGAGTAGAGGAGGTAGCTTCGCTATAGAACTGCTTCTATCCAACGCCTTCTGCTGTTCTCGTTTCAATTGACTGTTATGTTTTAGAGTAGCTACCTCGTCCAAATAGCACTCCGATTGTGCAAGTCGCCACAGACTCCGTTTTGCTTTCTGCAATTCTTCACTGCTTAACTCTTCTGCACCTTCGCACTGTGTATTTTCAGCTCGTCTCAAACTTTTCTCTTGGAAGCGGTAAACGTATGCTACGCTTCGCAACAGACGCTCGTATTTGGAAAATCTTTCCACCTCAATGATCGGAACTGTTAGAAAGTTACTGCATATGTATGCCGATCGTAATTCTTCCGTTGTTTCTTCCGGTACCTCGAATCCGCTGCTCGGCCACTCACTCTTCTTTTCGTAGAGAAACGCAGGACCTCGCATCCACCTACTATCTGGCGTACAGTTCGGGCCTTTTCCCCATTTTGTAGCTTCATCTGCAACATTGATTTTCGTTCCCAGCCATCGCCATTCCTCAATCCTTGAATGGTTCAAAATTTCGTTGACTCGGAAGGCAACATATGGCCGATACCGACGAGTGTCCGATCTGATCCACGAGATAATCGTACTAGAGTCACTCCAAAAATGTGTGCGCTTGACTTGGATTGAATGACCTTCTTCAATCGTTTTTCGAAGACGCGCCCCGAGAACCGCCGCCTGCAATTCCAAGCGCGGGATTGATAGTAACTGTAGTGGAGCAACTTTAGTTTTTGAAGCAACTAGAGCACATCGTATCTGTCCACGATCCTGAACACGGAAGTAAGCCACGGCCGAGTATGCTTGTGCACTGCCATCGACGAATATGTGCAATTCCAGAGAATCATAACAGTTAACATCGTACCCCGAGAAATAGCTACGAGGAATTCTCACATTGTTCAATTCTTGCAGGGCCTGAAGCCAGAGTTTCCATGCCTTGAAAATGTTCTCCGGTATTTGCTCATCCCAATCCACGTTAGCTCTCCAGACTTCTTGTATGAGGATCTTCCCTTGAATAATCAGCGAACCTACCAGCCCCAACGGATCGTAGATTTTCATGACAAAGCTCAGCATCATTCGTTTGGTTGGTGCAATCACGCCTTCCACTAATTCTTCAAGATCTCCTTGCAGGCTAAGCGAAAAGCAGAACACATCTTCCCTCGGCAGCCAAGATATCCCAAGTAGTCGCTTAAATCCACTCTGGTTGTTCATCGTGAGGTTCTTGACAGTAGCTGGGTTAACTTCTCCTATAGCCTCTAGTACTTTGGGTCTATTTGACACCCAGTTACGAATGTGGAAACCTGCCTTCCGATGGACCTCCGCCACTTCCAGAGCCAACTCAATCGCTTCTTCCTCCGTGTTGACGCTATCCAAGTAATCGTCGACGTAGTGTCTATTCTTGATTGCTGCCGCCGCTCTTGGATGGTCTTGCTCGTTTTCCGCTGCATTCAGATTTTTGACATACTGCGATTGAGCTGGAGAACAAGTCGCTCCGAAGATCGCCACGTCAGATACCATAGTAGTCATAGGTTGAGATGGCGAGTTGCGGAACACGAACAATAGTGCACTTCGGTCCTTTCTTCTGATTCCGACCTGCAGGAACATTTCTTGGATATCGCCAGAGAATGCCACTTCCCGTTCACGGAACTTAAACATAACATACAGCTGCGGAGTCAGCAAATCAGGACCTTTCAACAACATCGTATTTAAAGAGATTCCGTCTACCTTAGCCGCTGCGTCCCATATTACCCTCACCTTTCCCGGTTTATTAGGGTTCAGAACCACTCCAAGGGGAAGGTACCAAGTGCGGTGTGGGTCGAATTTTGTAATTTCTTCTTCCGTTACCGCATGGATGTAACCTTATGCCTGGTAATCCGCTATTTGGCGCCGTACGCTGTCGTAGAGTTGCGGATCCTTCTCAAGACGCTTCTCGAGACATTTCAGACGACGTTCAGCCATCGGCCTGCTATTCGGAAATTTTATGGAGTCTTGTTTCCACAAGAGTCCAGTCTCGTACTTCCCGCTTGTTGTTCTTACTGTCGTCTCTTCGAGGATTCGACGAGCTCGTTGATCTTCACTTCCTTCCAAAATCGGGGCCACTGAAACCCCTAGACTTTCCACAGAGAAAAATTCACGTACGTATTCGTGTAGATCGAGCTCCGCTGGTTCCACGCACATGTGCATCTGCCGGTGTTGGAATTGATGAGCTCCTCCTCGCAGACTACCGCAGACTACCCATCCGATACGAGTTTTTGAAGCGATTGGTTCTTGTTCCTCTCCTTCTCGAACTTTGGACGCGGTCAGGAGGTGAGCGTTGTTTAAACCAATCAGCAAACCAGGAACGCCCCTCTGGAAACTCTTGACTGGCAAGTTTCGAAAATGCTTGTACTGCTTTAGCATGCTAGCAAAATCCAACGATTGCTCTGGTAGCCCCAAGTTCTCGACGGTGTAGACTTCCGACACATCAAATTTATTTTTACCACCGGGTTCTGATATTCCCAGCTTTACCAGTTGTGTAGTGGCAATCTTTTTGTTGATTCCGCTAGTCCACTGGATACACAAGGATTGCATTTTACCATCGGCTCCAAGTTCATCTGCTATTGCCTTTTCTACTAGGGTGACCGATGATCCATCGTCCAGAAATGCATAGGTATCAACGGAACCATTCTTCCCGTATAACGTCACCGGAAGTATCTTGAATAACGTCGACGAAACAGGCTGACGATGGATGGTGACAGTAGCGTTGGTGGTAATCGCGGATTGTCCTGAGGTAGGCTCATAATGTAGAAGTTGATGATGGCGCTTTTCGCAACCGTTGACGCCGCAGACTTCACCTTCACAAGGCCAGCGAGTGTGCGAAACGAGGCATCTGCGGCACAGCTTGTTCTCTTTCACCACCGTTCGTCTAACGAAAGCTTTTTGAAAGATGTACAGTTCACTACAATGTGGTCCTTTGATTTACAAGTCGGGCAGCATTTACCTCCTTCGTTTTCTTTGCCTTTGCTGTTCGTTGGTAGCTCCCGCCGTTCACTCTTGGGTTGATTACTGGACGACCCCGAATTTCTACGGTCATAGGTAGCGTGTGTATTCACATATACCTTATCCTTCGGTCTCGATTTCTCCTCCTTTGGATTGTAACACCACTAGTAGCAGATGTAACTTTTCCCATGTACTCACCAAAAGCGTTCAAATCGACAACGGGTAAATTCTCTTGATAGAGTGCCCAGCTAAATTTTATTGTAGCTGGCAGCTTATCAACGAGCTCCTGAAGAAGGGTAGGGTTGGAAAGGTGGTTATCCATGCCGACAGCCTTTAGATGTCCGCATAAATTTTGGACAACTAACACAAACTGGACTAGTGTTTCCAGTCTTTCCGCCTTTGGCGCTGGAGTCGCTCGCACTTTGGCAACCATGTTATGTACGATATGTTCAGGCCTTCCATACAAGGTATGTAGCGTGGAAAGAATTTGTGGCACGGTCGATGGATGAAGAAGGAAACTACTAACTGACTCCTTTGCCGCACCTTTGAGGGAACGTTGCAAGCGTAGTAGATTTTCCGAGTCTGAGTAGCCACAAACTTCGTTGGAGTGCTTGTAGCTACTTATGAAGAGTGGCCAGTCAATTGGATCCCCAGAGAAAACCGGAAGCTCTTTTGGAATAACATGCCTGGCAGCTAGCTGATGTTGTGTTGGACCGTATTGCACTGGTGGGAACTGATTATGATGGAAAGGGTGAAACTCCGGAGGGCGGTACGGATTGAACTGTGACTGACCCTGTGGTCCTACGTAAGAAGGCCCTAACGGATTGAGCTGTGGTTGACCCTGTGGTCCTACATAAGAAGGCCCTACTTCAGGGGGTACAGTAAACGTATGAGGCATTCCTAATCTGTCTAACGAACTAACGATACTGGGATCGGGTGTCGAAGTATGGGAGAAGTTATTTATTTCGCTACGCTCCAATTGGGGAGTACGATTTGTACTCACGTGCAGTATTGGCTGAGTGGATGCCACTGGTGCCACTTGTTGTGGCTCCGTTGCTCGAAATGGACGGCTCTTCTCTCGTAGTCGAAGTAGTTCTTGCCCAAGCATAAAGAAGTTGAAAATACTTTGTAATGACTAACGCAAAGAATCACTAATACTTTAATATACATCATTTAATACATTTATACAACCTAAAAAGTGCAAGACGCGGAGCTTATACAACTAAAAACTGGTCTTATAACATGTTTTGGAAACATCATAAAAACCAGCGACAAAAAAAAAAACAATAAAAAAAACTTGAGCATGGGATTTGATCACTGGTCCTTGGCGTGGTAGACTTGTTACTACCTAACTAGACCAACACCACTTGATGAAAGGTTTGTTATAAGTATCTATCATGTTCTTGCCAATGGCATGAAAATTATTTTCTCGTTCATCACGCCTTCGATCCGTCATGAAGACTTTTTGTTAGTAGCGAAGCGTACGTCTAATTGCCAGAATGTTATTTAAACGTATTTTCAACTCCTTATAAGACAACCTGCACATTTTCAGTTGTATTAATTTATGAGATGTCATAAAAAAGTATTTTCAACTTTCTTTATAACAAACCTCCGAATACCTCATAAGAAACTGTCAATCACTGCATGAAGAGACAGTCCGGCTCAAAGGCACCGTGAATGTTTACGTCAATCTGGATTGATTTTGTATACGACAAGTTTTATAGTGGTATTAAAACAGTAAGATGCACGTTCAAATAACATTTTAAGATAAAAGCAAAAGAAAACTATTTTGGAAAATGTTGAGTCAAAGAAGTATGAAGAAAACATCTTTAAACCTCATATATAACGTGGGATGTTTTCTGCATCTCTTATAATACATTTATACAACAAGCCGTTCTAATTCTTTTTCAAAAAGATGTTTTATGTGTTACTTGGGTGATGGTCTGCAAGTTGTTGCTCTAACGAACGAAATCTTCGTCGGTCTTCGTCTCTTTCCGCTTGCTCCTGCTGCCTTGTCACCGCCAGGGTCTGGTACTGCTGATTACTCATTTCAAGCTGCATATGCAAAGCGTTTTCAGCCTTGAGTAATTGGTTCCGTTCTTCCGTACGCTGTTGTTCCAACTGCTTCAACTTGTTTACCAGGTCCATCTCTCGTTTGCGCCTCAAATCGTTCTCCTCCTGATGTTTCGTTGCTATATCACGCTGCCTTTGCAAGCCATCTTCGATTTGAAGCAACCGTTGTCGTTCCAGATCGCGCTGCTCCTCCGCGCGTTTGAGGCGATCTACCAGCTCACGCTCACGTTGCTCATGACGCTCCAGTTCAACATCGTGCTGAAGTTGCAGCTCAAGACATTGCTGCTTTCTCCGCTCACTGGTTTCACGGTGCCAAACATCGTATGGAGAGGAGTTTCCCATAAGCTTCGGAACGATCTTCGGAATCGTGCCGGTTGTGGATTGCATCGGATTAATTCCAATCTTCCACTGTGCAGCCCTAGACTCTTCCAGTAGGCGAGCATATGGTTGAATGTTCACTAACTGCAGCTTTGGAGAAATCAAATGGTTTTTTGGATTCCGATGTTGATCGTTTGCCGAATCTGACTCGTTCTCCGGACTTTCGCCGATGGTTACACTATCGGTGGTACGCGGAATAGAAATTACTTCCCCTTCAATATCAGATATTCCGCTATTCATCAACGGAGTTGACGTACCGACGGGTGTTGGTGTCACTTGATCGATGTTCTTTGCATCAGTCACGTTTCCTGCCACGTTGACTCGATTGATATCAGTAGGCTTCACATGCTTCTCAACCCATGCTTCCACCTTTTGGATGCTACTCCTGCTACTATGCCGACTACGTGTGCTGGATACTTCATCGTCCTGCTGACGGAGCAGCTCATGCTTACGAGCAATGTACTCCTTTTCGCGTTCTAGTTTGTCCTTCATCGCCTTATCGATCAACAGTTTTTCCATCCGTAGTCGTTCCTCCTCCACTTTCTCCTGTACTTGCCTTTCTTCCTCCAATCGATCTAGATCACGGGCTATCTGAGCTCTCCGTGCACTAGAGACGCTGGACCGTCCAGCAGTAGAACTAGCAGGTGGTGGAGGTACCTTAGGGGAACACTGCGCACACACAAAGTCTTTTGAGCGTACCGTAATCGTGTCAACATTCGCGCACGAGAAATGGTACCAACGCTTACAGCCTCCGCATTGGACCATATAAAGCTCGTCATTATTGGGTCGATCACATTTCGCACACTCACACTCATTTCCGTGCTCAAGATCGATCACCGAAGGTACAAAACTATCATCCGCTGTCGTGTCCGGATCGTCAATCATCACACAAGCGCCGTCTCCAAATTGGGTGACCTTGGTTCTAGATCGGGTCTGACGGACAAATGATCGCTGCATCTTGTGGCGATAATTCTTTGAGAATGTTGCGAGAATTAATTATTCGGATTTCGTTGAAGCTACTCGTCTTTGCGATGAGATCAGCTCAAAGCTGTAAATGTTTATTATTTAGAAACATTTTAGGTTAATTTAGTTTAATTTACTTACAATTAGTCTCCTATTAAGTATTTCACAAAATATTTCTCAGCAACAAATTCAATGTACTGTTAGGTTTCAAACTGCAATTAATTTAATAATTAGGATTTAATTAGGTATGAGAAAATATAATTTAATTCACTTTATCAATTTCGTTCACTACAACAATGATGACAAATCGTTTTCTGATGGCTTACTTCTAATTGACAACCCATGTCCTACCACCGTTGAGTTGACAGTTAACTCTTCCACACACAAACTCTCATGTCAATTCGAGGGACTGTCCAGTGGCAACAACATGAATAAAATAATTGATTTTCGTTTCGTGCAGTCTACATTGATCGATTATCTTAATCGTACGTAATTTTTTGTGATTTTTTGCGTTACGTAATATTTGATGCCCCCTACTCAAAAATTGGTAAAAAAGGTTTGGATTGACAAGTTGATAAATGAAAATCGATCGGATCCATAACTTAGTTTACTCATTTTTGAGAAGCTTCACTTTTGATCGATATGACTAGAACCTACTCAACTTTGGGTTGTTTAGAAATAGCGTGCATACCTTCATTTTTCAAAAGTAATTTGAAATTTGAACGTAATGACTTTTGTAAACAATCACTTCACCATGTGTCGTGAATAAAAGCTTAATCTCGATGACCTCTACCTCAAAACAGGTAGAAAAATAATTTCTCTATTATTTATTCTAGTTTGTTAACGAGATTGTGCTTTTTTCGCGAGAAATCGGTGATTGAAGTGTTTGTTTACAAAAGCAATTACGCCCAATTCTCAAATCATTCGCATCCGAAATCGGCTCACATCTCGTCAGACTTATTTTTCAATTTTGACAGCCGAGCCTAATCAAAAGGGCAACAAAAAAAATCTAAATTTGCAGCTAGTGGACGAAAATAACAGAAGATATTTTCGATTTATACATTGATTAGGTGTTAATTTCCATCCAGAATTAGTTTTACTGTTAAATTATGGATTCGGTTACAGCGCTAGATGGATATTTACGTAAGTAGTTGTCGAATTGCGAGGTAATCTTGGTGAACATCTTATCAGCATGTCTGTCTTTTTTTTTTTCGTTTCTCTCGTATCCCAGGTAAAGCTGTTAATCCCAAAAATGCCGATCTCGACATTTCTGCCATCGATCAGTTTTGCCTCACCCTGAAGAAGGATCCGTCGTTGATGACGGTGGCACCTTCGTTATTGGCTGGTCGAATCCAATCCGGAAACACCAAGGAGGCAACGCTGGCCCTGGATGTGAGTAGCAATCCGATGGAACCGTGGTTTTGGGCTGAGATAATATTTACTGTTTTTATTAAAATTGTAAGGCGCTTGAAGAATGTATGGAGACGTGCGGGAGAGAATTTCGGTCGGAGATAAACAAGTTTCGATTCCTGAATGAACTGATCAAGCTAGTGTCGAAAAAGTTCGATGGAGATAAAACACCGAAAGAGGTTTCCGAAAGGGTAAGCGAAGAAGTGTATGGTTGCGTTAGTTATTGTCGTATGACTTTTAACTAATTGCAGATTCTGAATATCCTACTGACTTGGACCAACAAGTACGAAAATTGTGGCAAAATCCAGGAAGCCTACAACCTGCTGAAAACACAAGGAATTGAGCATCACCCTCAGCAAAATGTAGTGGTGAAAAGCACTCCCAAAAATGAAAACCGTGGCAGCTTGGACGAGAAGGAATTTGCCAAACTTCGACAACTTATTCATAGCAGCAAGCAAGAAGATCGCGACAAGGCTAATCTGTTGATACAGAACTTTTATCGTGATGACGAACGTCGAACGCAGATGAAGAATAGGCGATTTGCGGAACTTGAAAAGGTAGCTGAAAATACCAAACTATTAGATGAGATGCTTTCCCAGTACAGGCCTGGAGAAACTTCTGAGGACGAGCTGGCAATTATCCGGGAAATATTCGAATCTTGCGAAGGTATGCATCCAACTATCATTCGCCTTGCCGAAGAAACGCAGCAGAGCGAAGGAATGCTAGGTAAGTTTGCTAGCTTTTTCTGCGGTCGTTTCGCTCCAAGCTGTAAAATAATCATTTAAAATTATATTTCGCTCACCTCTCAACCCTTTGTTGTTTTAACATGGATTTCTATTCATTGTATAAAATCTCACAGCTCAACTGTGGTGTAACTTGTAATGATATTCTTTGCACGTATAATCTTGGTACATCACAGTCTTGTCGTAGTTTGCAATATTAACCCACTGATTCTCTCACTTACTACTTGTTCACATGCAATGCAGATCTGTCTCATCAGAATGGAGTAAAGAATCTAGCGAAATTTTGGAGTTTAGCTAGTGAATTTGGTTAGTAGTACTGGTATATTGCTGTTCCATTCCTCGCTTTCTAAAACTTAATCATACATTCTTGTTTATTTAGTACTGTTGATTGGAATGCTTTCTAAGTTGATTTGATAGTTTGGAGTGAATTAGTTTTTGTAGCTAGTCTGTTTAATTTCAGTATTGTGAGCTATGCTAACTACGAGCTAATTAACGATTTTAATTCATTACAGAGAAAATCTTTGAGGTGAACGATAACCTAACGCAAGTGTTGGACAAATATCGGCAGCTGATTCTGAAGGCACCTCCAACGGAGCAAATAATTACAAGCTCATCAACAACTTCATCGGTATCCTTTTCGAAAGTAGCAAGCCCGTACTCGTACTCGTCCAACATCAACGTACCTGATCCACTTGATAGCTTGTTCGATATTTCCACCATTCCATCAAGTAGCGAACCAACCCGAAACCCTCTGGATGATCTCAGCGAAATATTTTCGTCATCCATCAGTTCTGATTGCGCGAATGCGATTCCGGATTCTACTACCTCGTCAGCTTCTATCGGTAATACCGATACAATTCTGACTCCGCTAGTGGTGAGCTATGGTTCGAGTGTACAGGCAAGTATCCTGGCGCCCACTTCCACTAACGGACTGAACAAATATAGCGACATTCAAGATTTGCTACAAAACAACATAAATGGACACGTGACTAATAACTTGAAGTAAGTATATCTTATTCGGTGTTCTTTTATTTCTAATTAAAATTCGTAATTTTAGAAATGTCGCTGCAAACGGTGATGCAAGCAAGAAGCCTTCTAGTACCAGTACGAACAGCACTAAACTAGATTCTTTAAGCACGGGCAAAACTATACCAGATCTAGATTTCTTGGTCAGTGGAATGAAGTCGACGCTTCTTTCTCAGTCTAGCTCGAAAATGGTCTCCGAAGAAGAAGCTTCAGCTCCCAATGAAGGCGTTTCCAGCGACGATGACGATAAAGTACTTAATCCAATCACTCCTACAGTGGAAGTTAACATCGCATTTCTTTCGGCGTCGACGGAACCATTGTCATCAGAGGAACCTAAAGCCAAACATGAATTCAAATCGCTAGCCGAAATCGTTATCGACCTCGATAATATTCAACCCAGTCGAGAACCATCACGCACTGTTCTAAACGACAAGGATGGCCTTCAGATAACGCTCAATTTTGCTAGCGATCATCCGCGGCCGGATGTGACAGTGATTGTCATTTCAACCATCAATCAAGGCCGCATAGAAATTCCCAGTTTCCACTTCGATGCAAGTGTTCGCAAACCGTGCAAACTGCGACTACTGCCAGCCTCGGGTGTCAGTCTTTCCGGTACGAAGCCGTTCCGACCACCGGCTGATGGCATAACACAGGTCCTTTTGCTGGCAAACCCGTCCGAAGAACCCGTCGATTTGACTTGTATTCTCACTTACTGCGTAGGAGATGATCCGGATCCGATCAAGGAATCTATTATGGTGAAGGATGTTCCATTTATTAGGGAATAAGTAGCAATCGAATACTGTACCTACTGCATGTGAGATCAACATTGTATGAATGGTTTACAATATGGAATAACGACGACAGCATGGAAGAATTGAACTGGCAGTCTGTGATTTACGGGGCATAATAATTCTATCTTTCCATTTAGCTTTTCTTCGATTGCTGGTTTCCGTCAAAATGATGGCGCTTTATACTCCTTCTTGGAGTTTCATTTTAGGCAGCCTAAATATTCACTTTCTAACGAAGGAAGAATTTGAGTTGTCGAGTGGTGGAGATGAGATCACATTGGGAAAATATTTCAATTTGAACGGCGCTAAGCCACTCGCTTATTTTATTTAGTATTAAGAAAATAAATCACAATAATCTTATCTAGAGTTTTGCATGAATGCGAATGAGAAACAATTATATTGCAAAATAGCAAGTTAATGTGTGATTTTATTTCTGAAGCCATTCCTAGTCTTATTAATTGCTACAATAAATAACCTTGAGATAAAACATTCGTGGTAGTTGCACTACAACGGGATACTCTCAAACTACTCAAACTAACAACATTTGAACAGGAGTGAGGGAAAGCAAATAGATACTTGCTCTAATTCCGCCCAGCATCTCATACCGTGGGTTTAACCGAAGACAACATAGCAAGAGGCAACTTTGTCTGAATTCGAGCGACAGACACAATAGTGCTGTGCTCGAGCGAAGGTGGAAGCAATAAAGCCCTACAGTAAAAGTATGGACGACTGTCACCACAAAACTGAAAAAAAAACAGTGCTAACATTTGAAAACGGCACAAAAGCCATTTGTAAACAAATGGTTTGTGGGCCCTTTACTCACTACTTGAAGTACACCCACGCGACACAACAGCAACATCGGGTAGGGGAAATTTTCCCCTTCCTGACGATGCTGTTGGTTTGCGTGGGCGTTCTTCGGGTAGCGAGTAAAGGGCCCACAAACCATTTGTTTACAAATGGCTTTTGCGCCGTTTTCAAATGTTAGCACTGAAAAGCTGTTCCAATCGAGCAAAGCGGTGCATTTTGACGGTTTGATTGGAACAACTTTTGACAGACGTCCATACTTTTACTGTAGGGCTTTAGGAAGCAACACATAGAAAAATGAGCAAATGCACAAACCTTTCTTCTGAGGATGGAACCTTTGCTATTTAATTCGTTCGGGGCATTTACCTTTGAGCGGCAGATGACGCGATTGTGCCTGTCTCATGCCGGTCGTTTCAAAAAATGGAAGAGTTTTTTTTTTTTTTCATTTCGTTTATTTGGCAGGCTCAAATGTTATAAAAATAACTTAGCGGAGCCGAGTAACATAGAATACCAATTATGGTACTCAAAATACAAAAAAAAATATGTACAAATATATTTTATCATATGATTTTTCTGGGTGGCGATCGAAGCGGCGACAGAGCGATCTTCTCCCGTGCACGCAACTTCTTTCTTTCCCGAATTTGTTCCTCATTTTCATTGAACCCGAATCGTGATCGCTGCTGCTGTTTCTGGACATCGTTTCCCGTTGCATGCTCTCCGCTACTCTCGTCGGTCGTCGGGGTAGTCACGTCCATTTCGTTATCTGCATTCAACATCTCCAACCCCGTATCCGTTTCCTGATCGCTAATGACAAACGACGCACCTTCCACCACTACACCAGCATACGTACTGCTGCTGTTTTGTTTTCTTTCGCTTTGCTTTCCTTTTTCCTTCAGTTGCTTCTCCGGTTCCTTCCGAGCCTTCCGCTTGGGACAGGAAAGCTTCCGGTGTCCGTCCGCCTTGCACAGAAAACATTTGTCTTTGTTGCCATCATAAAAAATATTTCCTTTGCGATTGAAGAAATGTAATGACGTGGGGATTTCCTTCTTCACATCCATATATACACCGCGTATCCCTGTATATACCTCAAAACACAGATCAGTTGGAAATTTCTCCCGGATGATGCGTTTAATTTTCCCATATTTCCCCAGCACTTTATCCAGCTCGTTGTCGGGTACCTCTGGTGGCAAGTCATACACACGCACATACTGAATGAATTCACCAGCATGCGACATGCGTACCTTTGCCGTCGTTCCATTCGCATAATGGAAGATTAAATCCTCCGAATTGAATGTCAGAGCATGGAGCATCGCTTCCTCTGATTTGAACTTCATGAAGACTCCCCTTTCCTCACCAATGCGATAAACAGCTTCCATTTCAGCCGGATCCGCGTCGAGTGCTTTGGCGAAATTTACTATCTCTCCGATGTTTGGTTTGGCATCACAATGGCTGAAGCTAAACTTGATGGTGTTTTTTACTTCACACATCTTGCACCGTAGCAACAAAAGGCACCGAACTGCTAGCAACGAACAAAGAGCAACTATATAATAGCGAGTCTCGAAAACAGGCTATCGTGTGGTTCACAACGAAATAAAAAATCGACTGCTGCTGTAGACAGCTGTGGGACAACTGTGGAAGAGTTGCCAGTCTTCTTGATATGTTGTTCCGGTTTAACAATTAACTTAAATAACGCAGTCCCCATCATGCTCTCCTGTCGTGCGAATCTAATGAGTCACGCCAACTCTACCTATTGAACTGTCAAACCGGCTACCTATCGTACAAAGCAAACAAACATTACGATGCTATGAAAGTTTCATAAGTACCAGGACCAGTGTTGGGAAAATATCAAAAAATCAAATCTCACCAACGCCCAAGATCATGCTTGATTTTCGTAGACAAAAATCAACAAGCAAACAACTGCGGTTGATTTTGCAAGCTGTGATATCGCAGCTCGGAATATCAAGCTAACAAAACTCACCAACTGCAAATATCACCAAACTGTGGTGAGATAGAGTTTAATGATTTTTGCTTTACACTCGAACGCAACCAAAACTTCCATAACGGCTTGCAGCAGTCCCTTTGCGTCTGCCATCGGTGAAAATTAAAAAAAGATAGCAAACTATGCTTTCTCTTTCTAATAAAACGATGTGTAATGGAATCATTTTTGTATCGAGTCAACTTTCAGCTTGATGTTTGCACGTTGTGAATAGTCTCGCAATTTCAAAGGAGCTTGTAAAATCAATATCAAGCATGATATTTTGTTCCAATATCACGGGTGATATTGCGAGCTCATGAGAGCGGAAAAATATCAATGGATTTCTGATTTTGCCAAGACTGACCAGGACAAAAAAATTGCTACATGCCAGTAAAATGCATGCATTGTGATGATTCTTCTCACGTAAAGGACGTCTGTCCTGTGAAGGAAGATCCTAAGATATTTAAATGTTTAAATTGTGTTGAAAATCAAATCTAATGTTTGGGATTGCAAGACGCACAAAGCGATCTTTCAATCTCCTACTAAACTACAGGTAGGAAACGCTCAACGTTCCCGACCAGGCACTAATTCCTTTGCTGTTAACAACGGTCAGCGAGGAACAAATTCAAGATTCGTACCCGTTTGTACCTACAAACAGCTCACAAGCTTCAAATTCTGCATCCAAACCCATGGAACAATGTCCAACTAATAGCGAATTCGTTTATTATTCAGTTCCAACCTGGATCGGGTATCAAGATTGGACCTGCTTGTTTTCTGACAAACGTCAGTTCGATCGTTTGTTTTTAAAACCCAGCTCAGGTTGAGGTTCGCACTGACAAAAAGTTCGGTTTCGCACTGGGTTGGAACTGGTTCCAACCCCGATAATAAACGAATTCGCTATAACATTTTAAGCTTTATAAGCCAACATTTCCAGTTGAACTGACATCACGGTTTTCGAAAGATTCCCTTTCTTTTCACTTGGCAACAGAGGACTTCTACACAGCAAAAAAAGTTGTTGAATATTCATCGAAACTGCTGCAACCAGGTCAATCCATCGGTTGTGTAAAATCACATTGTACGATGTACATCGATTTTGCGAACAAAATTACATCCATTGATGTAATATTGTATCTGCGTTTTGCTATTACATGATTATTTCATGCATCAGCTTGAATTACGTTGATCGATATTACATTTTTTTTGCTGTGTACATCAATTTCAAATGACTTCTAGCGAGAAAAAAAAAATAGCGGGTGTAGTAAATCAATACATCAGTGATTTTGTCAAATTATCTTAACAGAAAATAGTGGACATTCTCTTTACTGATCATTACCAAACGTATCACATGCCAATATAATGCTCACTGCATGTTTGTGATGATCTCTTGGATTATATTTTATATTTTATTGCAATACCTTTCGTGGACCTTTCATAGCATCGTAATGTTTGTTTACTTTGCACGATAGGTAGCCGGTTTGACAGTTCAATAGGCTTCACTACACTGAACCAAAGCATCCGCAATACTTCGAATGATTATTGCATTGCTCGAGCCCTTTAACAATATGCATTCGAATTTCGGATGATTTTCTTATGGTTGAATTCGTCGTCAGATGATGAACATCCATATGACTGTCATCCAAATACAGGATGATTTTCGTTTGAAAATTAGCTATAAAACATACGGCACTCAGAGGACAAACATTTAAGAATAGTGTGACATGCAAGTGCTTTTAATTTGATTTATAATTTGATTATGTGCAATTCCATACTGAATAGCCATAATAAGCCATTCCATCATGGATACAAAAAAATTTCGTGGTGGAGAAAACCTCCTCCACCACGAATTAGCCAAACATTGGTTTTCATCCTTTACCTATGTTCGTAACAGCTCTGATAGCGATGCCCGAATAGAAATTTACATTAACCCAACGTTTGATTCTGATGTCTACATCAGCATCGAAATCAAATGTATGTCTGATGTCAAACATTAGAAAACATTATGATTTAGTTGTATTTAAGCAACGTAACATGGTGTATACATCAGAAATTTTGGAACAAAATTTTGCCATTCTAATGTCGGTCTGACGTCAAAAATTTCAATCTATTGACATTAGAACCAAACGTTTTAAGGATGTTTTCGGATGTACAAAACGTTAGAACTAAACGTTGTTCGGATGTTTTTAAATGTAAACGTTTTCTGATGTTTTTTAATGTAGATGTTTCCTGATGTTAAAAACAAACGTTTTTGGATGTTTTCAGATGTAAAAAACGTTAGAACTAAACGTTTTTCGGATGTTTTTATATGTAAACGTTTTCTGATGTTTTCTAATGTAGATGTTTCCTGATGTTAGAAACAAACGTTTTTCGGTTGTTTTCGGATGTAAAAAACGTTAGAACTAAACGTTGTTCGGATGTTTTTATATGTAAATGTATTCTGATGTTTTCTAACGTAGATGTCTCCCGATGCTAGAACCAAACGTTTTTTGGATGTTTTCGGATGTACACAACGTTAGAACTAAACGTTGTTCGGATGTTTTGAATTATATTTCGTGTTTGTTGTTCTCTGATGTTTTCAGATGTACAAAACGTTTAAAGTTAACGTTGTTGGAATGTTTTCAAATGTAGATGTTTACTAATGT